GAGGTAGCTGGGGAGAGGGAGGTCTGGGTGCCTCTCCTGAAGCTGCTGCCCCCACGACCCGAACCCCGGACAAGCGGCAGATGATGGATGGATGGATGGATGGTTTGGTCACCTTTCCTTAAAAAGTACATTGCTGCCTTAGAATGGGTTCAACGTGGGGCTACAACGATTCCTGGTCTTAGAGGATTGTCTTATTAGGAGAGATTAGCTGAGCTTGTGTTCAGCCTCTAAGCAAAAGGAGACTAAGGAGGGACATGATCCAGGTATATATGATTCTAACAGGTCTGTTTAACCAAATAGTTACTTCAATATTAATTCAAATAGAAGAACTTGTGGCCATAGGTGTAAATTAGTGGGAGAACATTTTAAACTGGATTTGAGAAAGCACTGCTTTACACAGCATGTGGTTAGAGTATAGAATAGTTTTCCTGTTAGTGTAGCGCAGGGGTGGCCAATCTTATCCGCAAAGGGCCGATGTGTATGCAGGTTTTTGGGATAACCTGTAGGTCAGCTGTTCAAACCCAGGTGTGAGGACTCTTCAGCTAATCAGTCCTCTAATTCGTGACCTAATTAGGGAGTTGCAGCGAAAACCTGCATACACACCAGCCCTTTGCGGATTGGCCACCCCTGGTGTAGCGCAAGCTAAAACCTTGGGCTCCTTTATATCAGAGCTATAGTTAAGATTTTAATAACCTTGAGCTATTAGTTGATTTCTCATGTGACTCCTTGCTCTAGTGTTCAAGCGGTAATGACCTGTATCTCATCCAGCCTTGGTTACTAGTGTAATACGTATGCGCCTGCCCGTGTCCTGTTCCTCTGCTGGTCTTTGTATATTCTGCAGGTGTTGAAATGTCGATGTGTCGTGTGTGCTGCTAATTACCCCTCATTGTATAACTTGTATGTCTCACCCGTGTATTCCCCTGCCATTGTTAGCCTTAAAGCTTAAACTTTGTACCGTGCCTGTGCACGAATAAAAGTAGCTTAGAATAAAAGTATCCACAAAACATATGTAAATACAATTACTCAAAATGTAATTACACCAGTAATTCGTGTGTCCTGCCTCCTATGCCTGCCCTCAAGTTAAGCATTCACAGCTGCCTCTTGTCTGCTCCTTCATTAGTCCTGTATTTAAGTGCTTCTCAGTCTTGAGTTCCCTAGTCTGGTCATTGTTAACGGTTTGTGCCTTTGTACCAGTGCTAATTTATAAAAAATGCCCCTTACAAGGGCGTTTGTACCGCATTTGCCATTTTGAGTTGCGTTTTCTACATTCAGAGTGACAATAACTGAGTTTCAGCACTGATTCCATCGCCTGTTGAATTATTTAAAATAAGGTATCATTGTCACTAGTTAATTACACTGCAGACTAACCCATTCGTTAAGGTAATTTATCACATACTCATATCTTAATTACTAAAATGCCAAATAACGTTAGTCTTTCCACTTTGAGAGTAATAACGTTTAGGCTACACTGCTTTAATATCGACTCCGCCTTACAACGAGCGATGTGACAGAAAAAAAAGAAAGCGATACAAAGACCACCCGATATGTTGTCTATCAGCCGTTTATAGTTTATTGCTCTGTATAGATGCAAAGTTTTTGGTTTTGTTTTTTAACCAAATTTCTTAAATACTTTGTGGAGCAGTAGGCCTATCGTCATTTAAACCCATGACTTAATAGAAATTATATTTTAAAAATATTATTAAATAATATTAAAATAGCTGCATGTCTGTATACGCGAAGAAATTTGAAACGTATTATTGTTGAATAATTAGCACTTTCACCGTTAGGTGGCCTCATTGACCCACTATGTAAATAATTTCGGGGCCAATGTAGGATTTCACTAGAGCTGTAAAAAATAATGCACATCCTCTTCTAAGCTTAAATTATGGGTCGTTGTCCAACAGGAGAGGCGTGTGATTTTCATCGAAATGTAATCACTTGACATTTGGCTAAATTAACAAACGTAACTGCACAGTGTAAAACACTTTAAAGTATTTGCAGTAATGTTCTGGTGTCTTTCCTTACCTGTTGAGGACATGCATGTGTGGAAATTTTACTTCTCCGAGAAAAACAAATCGTTTTACTTTTTGTGCCCGTCAGTATACGAAAGGATCAGTTCAGACGAGTGCAGCTCATATGTGCTCAGGAAAAGACAACGGGAAAGACCGCATCTGACGATGGAAGAATAGCGGCTCGTTTAATAGTTATCCCCACGGTGCCTCTCTGGAGTCCGTCACTGTGCAGCTCAGATGCTGGGTGTCGGGGAAGACCGCTTCGGGCGCATGCGGGGCACTGGGGCGCACCACGTTGGACTAATGCTGTCTTCTTGATTTAATTAATTCTAGCAGAAATCATATCGGAGTCTGCTGCTTAAAATAAAACCCGACCCCGAGGGAAAGCGATCCGGGCACTCCGCCTCCCTTTTCACACCGAAGAGTCGGATTCCTTCTCCGCAAATGGGGTCGCATATAACTTTGAGGACAAAACGATCCTGCTTAGAAGTGATTTAAAATATATATAAATAATGAGTTTGCATGCGGGATGATCGGTCTTTCTAAGACTTATGCCGGTATGCTTTTTCGGAATTAATGAAGAGAAAATAACAAATGAAGAATGAAGACTAAATCATTTTAAGAACAGAAAGGGGCAGTCATCCCTCCCCCAGGAATACTATAATTCTGAGAGGACTAATTGGCCGTTTTCCTCCGTGTTTCAAAAGCTGACAGGTATGTATGAAACTGCTTTGTGAATTGGTGTCTGAGAATGGGTTTGACTTTGCCTTTTTATAAAAATATCGCCGATCCACAATTTAATCGCTAATATTTATTAAGAAATCTACAATGTCAATCTTTATGTCGAGGTAGCCTATATGCGTTTAGTTTACGCGTGTAAATCAGCAAGTAAACACCGTAATGAGTGAACGTGTCCGGGTTGACCTATAAGTCATCCTGTCAGTGTTTTTAATTAACCAACTTATTCCAAATTACCGGAAAGATAATGTAAATACTGACCTGCTTCGATGCAGGTAAAAACAACGAGCAATGTGTCATTAAAAAATGTTAAGTTTAGGTCTATATGACATTTATTTGAATTTTAAGGTTAAAAACTAGCTTGGATTACACGGTATCTAAACTTGTTTTGCGGGCCAAAGACGTAAAGCTGAAATATGTGTGTTTTGCAAAAGCTGAAATGGATATCGAGCGGTGGTAGAGGCCCCTGCTTGATGGTCATTAGAAGCGGCGGATCGGGAAACGCAGCCCCGATGTCGTCATTATATGGAGAAAAAAAACACACAACCTTCTATTTGGAGTATGTGGTGTATTGGAATTAAAATAATTATTAAAATAATTAATTTAATTTTTTTTCGTTTTCTTCTTTTGCTACTAAGGATGATAGTCCCCGTGGCTTGCAGTCCAGTCTGTTGCCTAACCCTCCGTAATCATCCTCCTTATAATTAGACTGTGTTCAGAAATCCTGGGTGAAAATATGAGGTGATTCATGCTGCCAAGACGTGAAAGGATGGATAGTAACCACACGACGGTCCTTGACGGTGGTGCGGCAGAGAGAGACTCCCCAGCTCGTGTTCTGACTGGATGCTTCCTGGCTCTGCTCATACTGTCCACGCTGTTGGGCAACACCTTAGTCTGCGCAGCTGTCACCAAGTTCCGCCACCTCCGCTCCAAAGTCACCAACTTTTTCGTCATCTCGCTGGCCGTCTCGGACCTGCTGGTGGCCATTCTCGTTATGCCTTGGAAAGCCATCAGTGAAATAGCAGGCTTTTGGCCATTTGGTTCCTTCTGCAATATCTGGGTCGCGTTCGACATCATGTGCTCCACTGCCTCTATATTGAACTTGTGCATCATCAGTGTCGATAGGTATTGGGCGATATCCAGCCCGTTCCGCTATGAGCGAAAGATGACGCCTAGGGTAGCTTATGTGATGATCAGTGTTGCTTGGACCCTGTCAGTCCTCATCTCCTTCATTCCTGTCCAGCTGAATTGGCACAAGGCTCCAGCCGGCAGCTATTCAGAGCTCAACTATTCCTACGGGGCTCTTTTCACAGACAACTGTGACTCCAGCCTGAACAGGACGTACGCCATTTCATCCTCTCTCATCAGCTTCTACATTCCTGTCGCCATCATGATAGTCACCTACACCCGGATATACAGAATCGCCCAGAAGCAGATCAGGAGGATCTCAGCCCTGGAAAGAGCAGCGGAGTGTGCCAAGAAGCGGCACAACAGCATGGGGGACAGCTCCAATGTGGAGCCGGAGAGCTCCTTTAAGATGTCCTTCAAAAGAGAAACCAAAGTGCTGAAGACCTTGTCGGTGATAATGGGGGTGTTCGTATGCTGCTGGTTGCCCTTTTTCATCCTAAACTGTATGGTGCCCTTCTGTGATCAGCACCTGCCCAGCGTAAGAGCGGACCTTCCCTGCATCAGCTCCACAACCTTCGACGTCTTCGTCTGGTTTGGCTGGGCCAACTCGTCCCTGAACCCCATCATATATGCCTTCAACGCGGACTTCCGCAAAGCGTTCTCTGTCCTGCTGAGCTGCCATAGACTCTGTCCCGTCAGCAGTGCCATAGAGATCGTGAGCATCAACAATAATGAAGGCCCTGGGTCGTCTTATCACTATCAGCCCAAGGGGTACGTTCCCAAAGCGGGCAGCGTCATGTATGTGATTCCTCACAGCATCCTCTGTCAGGACGAGGAGCCGCCGAGGAAGACCGACGAGTTTGCCGTCAGAGCTCTGCAGAAACTGTCCCCAGCCGTGTCGGGCAACTTGGATAGTGAAGCTGAAGTTTCTTTGGAAAAGATTAACCCCATAACTCAGAATGGACAGCAGACTACATAAGGAAGGTTGTGTCAAGTAAGAAACACAACCTTATCTGAAAAAATGCTAAATGAAGGGACTAAAATCAGTTAATGTACGTGTGGTTTGAGAGGGAGTTCAATTTACCAGAAAAAATAACTGATCCTCATCAAAGACCTTAAACTCCATGTTGTATTGCAAACTATGAAATGTAGAATGTTATGAAAAGCACTTTATCCTGTATCTGCAAAACACTTTGAATAACTTCAAATAAATGCATTAATATTTAGTGTATCTATTTGAATAAGTGACAAAGTCAAATGTAACTTGAAAAATAACAGTGCATGTTTAAAGTTACATTTCTAAAACATTTATAACCCATTTATTATTGGGTAACTTTATAACAATGTAGCAAATTACTTAAGCTGTTGTAGGGAAATTAATACTTTATGCTGATATATATTCTACAGTTCACTTTTCATGCTAATATACCAGCCTTAAGGCTGGATGATTTGTAATGTTTCTGTGCACTATGGTTATTTGCTTTATTTATATACTTCAGAATTCTGTTTAAATTATTTGCCAGTTATTTGGGCATAAAGTCACTGTTACAGATGTTTCAATTATTGCAGTTTTTTTCAAAGCCATGCAGCTCTTTGTAAAATATACTTTTAACGAGGTCATAAATCAGCACATTTGACCCAGGATTCGGCCTTGTGGAACTGTGGCAATACATTGAAACAATTTATTTATGATTAAATTACATTTTTGTTTGTGACCTGGCTTGCATGCTGAAAATGAGAATCTCCTTAAAACCTTTAAGAAATATTCCATAAAGAGATACACATACCCTAAACAGATAATTAAATGAAAAAGGGGACTGAACAGCTTTGTGGATATGACGTTTTGATAGGCTTTCTACCAGAAATCCTGATGTCATTTGGTCACATGTTCAGTATCAGTACTGTGACGAGGAATAAATCTCCGAAATGAATAATTACTGTATGTGTGACATAAACACGAGGCAATCATATAGAATGATGCTGACTTCATTTTTAAATGATTGCTTTTTCATATCTTTCACCACTGAAGCTTTATAGTGCTTTAATGTGGGGACCCACAATGGCTTAGGGTGGATGTGCTCTGTGATTTAGCCAATGCAGTGTGTAGCACAAGAGCCCCCCATGTCCCATGTTACTACAAAGGTGATGACATGGAAGCGTTTAGAAGTTCCAGACCCTTCCTTCCACGTAAAGGCATTTTTAAGAGAAGAAAAATGTGACTTAAATATTCTTATTTATGGATCTGGGTGTCAGGGGGAATACTGAGAATCTATAAATGTTACGCCCCCCCCCTCCCCCCAACACTGTGAATTTGGGATGTTATATGTGATATTATAGAATTAGCAGTCAAATAAAGAAAGCACCAGATGAAAGAGAGCTTTAATGAAATCGCCATTACAGACACAGCGTCAAAGGTCAGTCTCATTAGGCCGAGTGCCAATTAGCAGCATGTGTGCCGGTTCCAAAAGAGGTCAAACGATCTGATGTGAGTTTCCAAAGCAACACAAGGCGGCTAACAGAGACCCAAAGAGTCAGACTCCAAACCGCAGGTTGCTCTGTCACAGAAACTCCTTAATTATTAGCGATGGCCTGGTGAACCGTCTGAAAATGAGTCGAAACTCGCCGACAGCGAGAGACAGATACTTAAAATGACAGACTGAACACCATAAAAGTACGACATGGAAAGTCACCACACAAAGGCATCAGCACCTCTGTGACCTCGTCTCTATGAAATCTGCATGTCAGGAGCTTCACAAAGCTGTGAGCTTCCTGTTTCCAAGGCCAGAGGACCAAGACATTTAATCTGGGGCACAGAGCACATATGTGGACCCCTGAACCACTAATGTGGTCTGAGTCATTTTTCACATTTCTAGCATCTGAACGGGTTTTCCTTTGTGCTCAGCTGAAGGATACTCCCTGCCCACAAAGCCTACTGGCGTGGGCGGCTGTTCTGTGGGAATCCCGATACTGTCCTGGGATTGGCACTTTCCTGAAGGAGGGAGGCCCTTCTGAAGGCAAAGCGTGGCCCTTCTCCTCTTCAGATCCCTTATATTAACACGTTGTGTGGTCTTTCTTATTTTGCCCACTGCAAATTTTAACTCAGAAATATCAACCTAAGTTATGATACAGGTGTGAGGAAGAGACCTAAATATCAGAGCTTCTCTGCATTGTCTTAACTTGTATAAGGCTTATGAGGTCCCTTGTTGTCAGAAACAGAAGCATGTGTATGCAAAAGAACATTCATCAAACCATGAAAGGTTACCACAACTACAGGATGCCGGGATTGTTTGCAGAAGGTAACCAGACTGTCCTAGTGCATTATTGTGTATCGTTTCACTTTTTTCATATTAATAATATACTGGGAAAAATAATCCAATACTTGTTCATATGGGGAAGAACATGGATTCAAAAAGGCACATATTCCATGTATTTATTACTTTCAGATAAATTGATTGTACTCCTTAAAATATCAAACTTTCTGAGAATTCATCTTTCTAGGCTGTCTAGGAGTTCATTAGCGCTGTCGACGCTTCAGCTTCTTCAGTCTCGCTTTCTTGCCCTTTTTTTCGAGACCAAGGCTACAGTTTTTGCGACTCTTGATTCTGAAACAAGCGTCATCATGATAGTTACTGTACTTCTGATAAAGTATTCTGTCTGCTCTGCTGTTCTCTGGGGCGTCCATGCCTGGAGTTTTCAGGGAAGGCAAATTAATTATGATTTCCAGTAACATTGTCGCCATTCTGGACTACAGGGGACTATCTTCTGTGGCATATTAAGGCTAGATTCTGCAATGCCTGTTTTACACCTTCTAGGGTTATAATTGCTACAGCTGTACTTTAGAAATGTAACACGTCGTAGGTCGGGCATCTTGTATGACCTCAACTTCCAAAGTATCATTTAATTACTGCTGTTATTTACGTATAAAGTGTAGATGTGCAGACAAGTGGTTAGTGTCTGGTCCTCCTTAAATAAACACAGTGTGCAGGACTTGGTGTTTCTTAATTGTGGGTTTGTTTACAGCCCTGTTTGCAATAAAGGGCACAGAAAAGCCAACTGGGACAGATGTTATTTGAACTGTAACAATATCTAATCTAAAGGTGTAGAATTGTGCCCTGTTTGTGTAATAAAACCATCCAGATTTTTCCTAATTGCATCCATGGTTCTTCTGTTACTATTGTGGCAAAAATCATTTTTCAGCATATGGGTTCAGCTCCTCAATAAGACTACCCCTATGAAGGGTTTATGAATGGTTTATAATCTGGTTATTAATTAGGTTGTAACACTTTGTAAATCATTAATAAACAATTATAAACAAGCTGTAACACAGTTTTCGTTTTATTAATGAGTTACTACCATTACTAGCCTTATTGTAAAGTGGTTCCCTTTTAAAGTTTGATATAATTATAACCGACATAACTGTTCTCAGACTGGTTAATATTTTGTCATCGCCTGACCCAGGGAATTCCCAAACACATCACGGACTGCCCGAGGTGACACGCGTGCTGCCACACATGGATCCTGTGCTCTGAAGGCATCTGCATTGCATTCTGGGTAACAATGACTATGCACAGTTACACAAAGAAATGACAAGGAACCTCATCATCTGGGGACATTGAAAATACTCATATAGAAAATAATCATTTTGGAATGAAACGTATAAGTACCTGTTTGGGGAAATGTTGGAAAATGATCCAGTGTTATTTATTCAGTGGGGGGGGGGGGGCACCATGAAGGTGGCTGTTACTTGCCGTTCTCTCTATTCATCTGGCCTGAAGTCTCCTGTGGGAGGCTGCAGACCTGCAGTGGCCCCATCAGCTCACTCAGACAGTGCAGGACTGGGGACGCTGCTCCATGCCGACCTGGAGGTCCGGAGCATCGCGGTTACTGTGTGTTTCCTCATTAACGAAAGGTGAAACTCTCACCAGCTGTACATTAATAACAAGCGTTATATGATTATTATGTAATTGTTTCTTATTAATGTATGTTACAGCTGTCATGTCTTGTTCATTGAAAGTGTTATGAATGCGATGCTTAACATCATGTTAATGTATACTGCTTATTAATGTCTTATGAATGCATGATGAAGGTGCACTTAATGTAAATTGTTAGTGAATATTACTCAAAGTGCAGATTAAGGACTGACCTCAGATAGCCCTGTGCCTGCAGGGACGCTTGCAGGATGTTCCTGGATCTCCTGAAACACCTGTGTGCTCATCTCAAAGCCGTGCTCCTGTGATAGAGTGTCAGCGACGTCTTCAGTGCTTTCAAGACAGAAACGTGCAGTGGGGGATGTGCAGTGGGGGATGTGCAGTGGGGGATGTGGCAGGATTGCTGCAAAAACAAAATCACAGCATTTTACTCCTGTTTTTGACCCTGAAGAGCTTCTGATCCTCACAGGGCTTCACAGCAGGCCCCCTGTTTTAACCATCTGTACACAGTGATGTGGGTTTACTGTAGAAGATGCAGTTTTCTATTATTACAGTGCACCTGTTTGGCCCCGTGCCCAGATACGGTATTTGTGTGATGAGCAAACAGATTTATAGAGTCACATTTAAGCAGGACAGAGACGTCCTGAAATGGAATACAAATGTATTAATGGCAGAGATAAATGAAAATGGATGAGAGCGGATATCATGCCATCTCATAAACGTCCAATAATCTATAAAAGGCCTCTTTAGTGTTTATATGCAGCCCAGTCACTGTGCTGCCCACTTGCTGCTGGATCAAGCAGCACTTCAGACTTACTGTGTTCTATCCTTTATATTATTCTGTAATGTATCAAAACCTAATAAACATGCAGCCATAAACAAATATATGAAAAAATTATTTTGTTCTGTGTTAAAGGTTCTAGACAAAGAGTCACAAACAGTGGAGATGCCCTTTTTTTGGACGTGTACTGTAGGAGTGTGTTAAAGACATGCTCAGCTTTTCCATTTAAATATACTTTTTTTGTCCCACAAATTCTGTTTTTAGCTGAATGCGAGCAAAAGACTAAAAATAGTCACAATACAGTAGCAGGAGGCTGCCTCCCGGTGGGGAGATGCTGTAATTGGACTCTCCCTCTCAGAGGCGTCGGTGTTTCAGTGACTGGCCACAGGCCCCATGGGGGGGGGAGGGGGGGGGGGCGCGTCCTGAAATGAGAGCCTGCTTTATTTGCTCGGACAAAGGTGCTGATGAGCATCATTAAGCCAATCATGAGGGTCACACTCAGGTCAGCTCTCTTGAGCAAAATGATATTTAAGAGGACTGATTTGGTTTGTTTAGTGGCTTGATTGTTGATTACATCATTGTATGCCGTTAAAGATATAGCAAATAAGCAGTGCAAAAAACAATATGCATTTGATTATATATGAAGCCAGTATACAGATTCGCGTGGCATCAAACTACATGGAGATTAATCAGCCCTTAAATTACTAATTTGCTCGATGCAATAAGATTGACACATGGCTGTAAATCAAAATGGGGCTTCAGTTAATGGCCTGGTTTCTCATAAGTGTCATTTGCAGATTCATTCAACGAACTGTTAAATCCAGGCTGATTGAAAGGGCAGTAGGATACAAAGCCAGCACCCACAGTCAGTGCAGGGAGTTTGCAGCCATTGGGACCATGCTAAATGCTGCTACCTTCACATCTTGCACCGCAGAATAGCATAGGTTCAAGACCCAGCATAGGTTCAACACCCAGCTTGTTTAACATACTTTTAGTTACAATTGTAACCAAAGGTGGCACCATGTCTTTAAGCTCAATAAGATGACAAAAGGGAAGAAAACATATTGACACAAGTCACCAAAAGAGCAAAACGAAGATCCTGTTTGCAGGCATTTTGCACATCTGAAGCTGAAGGCAAAGATATTTCATATACAATGAGCAACACCCTAATATTTTAATTTACATTCATAGAAATGCCATTTGGGACACAATGTCCTCATTGAGGAAATGATTTCTCCCGATCGTCTGCATTTAACTGTGGTCATGATCGGCAACATTTATTTGCCTTAATGTGACAGCTTGAGAGGTCTGCGTCTTTGAATCTGAAAGTATCAAAACGCAGAGCACGCAATCATCATGCTGAACAAAACAAAGGGAATCTCATTTAATCGGTCTCAACAGGCTCCCAGTTACTAGAAGCCTATTGCAGGAAGCAGGAGATGCGAGCCAGACCACAATCTGGATGCGATGCCAATCCATCATTGACAATCTCTCAAGATCTAATTTTGTCTGTACAATTCTTATGGTTATATTGTGTCGTCTGAAATTTAAAAAGTATCATGTATGTGTAACAGGACCCTCAGTGCTTCCCAGACCATGGATGGATGGATGGATGGATGGATATATGCCTCACTGAAAAGCGTTGTTGCATTTCCCCAGTTTCACATTTACTTTTTCTTTTTATGTCTTGACAATAGTGATCTTCTTGCACACTGTCACCTAAAGCCTGTAGCACAGTATTTACTTCGCCCTCCCCATAAAATGTCGAGGCCCGACCTGCCCACCGCCCAACACAGTTGTTTCTGTAACATACAGCACAGCTGCCCACACCTGGCTGCATCCTGACTGCTACAGCACTGCACTCGCGCAGCACTGCACTCGCGCAGCACTGCACTCGCACAGCACTGCACTCGCACAGCACTGCACTCGCACAGCACTGCACTCGCAGCCTCTGCATTCTTCCACAGGAAACTGCAAGTCAGAGTTAAAATCCCACATTTCTGATAGATCAGGAGGTGAGACGTCAGCTCAGGCGGATGAGGGGTCTAGTTCATCCTGATAAAATAAGATAAACTTGAGAGAAACAAAAGGTATCTGCCATGATGATGATGTGGGAACTCAAAGGTGGTATGAGAATTTCATACCTATATGGGTGTTGGAAGGCAGTTTTCAACACAAATAATTAGTAAAGCATTTTTTGCTAATTGCTAAGTGCCATGAACATTGCTTAAAATTATAAATGGCATCTTGGTTGTGAAATCTGATGCGAGGGGAGGCCTGGTCTGTGTTTGATTCTGTGATCTGTGGCGTGATTCTGTATCTGTCAGAGGCACCTTGGTCTGCTTCTCCTGCCGTCTTTCAATTATATCACATACCTGAAGCATCTATGATCATATTAAAGCCTCCCCATATTCCTGCGTTGAAAATAATCCAATTGCCCATGAATTCATGTTGCCTGGTGCAGAATTCTGAGATGAAATTATGAGACTAAAAACCTGTTGGGTAGTCATCTTAGATCCTGAGATCATCCATCACTCACAGCAGTAAGAGACAAATCAGAACTTCAGGCCTGATCATTTCTGCCAGTTCCGGTGTCTTCAGATGAGCACAATGTATTGAGGACATTTCAAAGTCATTTGTTCATGTTTTTTCATGCAAAATTGCACCACAAAAGGAAGCCTGTGACACTGGAGAGCTTTATGCTGCCTGACAGGGGGGGCATCATGGTGTGGATGGGGAGGGGACTCCAGGGGACTCCCCAAGGTCAGGGACATCATTTAAATGTAGGGGTATCTCCAGAGAGCAGGGTTTCCCAGGCCGGCCCTCAGGGACCCACAGACGATCCACATTTTTGCTCCTTCCCAGAACCCAGTAGGGAGCTCGGAGGGAGCAAAACATTGAGTATCTGCGAGGGCTGGTTTAGGAAACAGTGCCACAGAACAATAGGGACGGTGGGCACGGAACGAGCCAAACAGGAAGTGTGGTTGTGTCATTAGCCCGTGGGAAAGCCTGATTCTGGTGGACGTCTGCTGTCTGCCAAGCGTGCTGGACACCTGCGGGCCTCGGGACGGGGCGGCGAGGGGGTCGCATCTGCCACAGCATGTCTGTGGGGCGGCATCATCACTATTCCAGAGGATCCAGGAGGATGCCGAACAGACGGCATGGCTTCCCAGCACCCGGAGCAGGGAGAGCACAGTACAAAGGGGGAGTAGAGGGGTGACAGCCAGCCTCAGCATGCTTAATAACAGCAAGGCTTTGTCAGTGTCTCCCTAGTCCCTGCTCTTATTTACCATGCAGCTCTCCTTTCTGTTTTCATGCAGAAATTGATTTTTTTCAGTTTTTTTTTTTTTTTTTTTTTTTTGGCAGTGCTCATAATTTCCACTGGGGACAGCAATTTCAGGAACATAAATATTTGTGTTGTGTGAAATCTGTATGAGGG